TATATATATGCTGTACACAAATTCAAATGCAACACTTTGTGCGCTCCAGATGCAGCAATAGCAGTAGCAATGCGTCAATCGAAAGATCTGGAGAATCCAGCCATCAGCATAATCGTTCATGGACCCATGGCGCACTGTAGCTGACTGTTTCATGGCATGGGCACTGCTAAGTGCGGTGAGAATAAAGGTAGCAGCAGCAGCATCAGAGGTGGACAGACGCTGCAGAACTCCAGAACCTGACAAAAATGTTCTGATCTTTCTTACATTTTGCTGAAATGAACATAGATGAACTGTGCTGTTGAGAATAGAACAGCCATAAGAGTACGTACATGATCCCTTGCCTTTGTTCTTGGAGGCTTGGACAGGCGAGCTGCAAGGTGAGCATGCTGATTGTGTTGGGCATCTACCTGAGTGCACCTTGGACAAATGCGGCACGGGCTTTTGATTCTGAGGCTTCTGATTGTTTTGTGCCGATGTTCAGAAGCCAGATGCTCGATTGCTCCGGCTGATGACTTCATTTCAGGTTTAAGTGTTCTGGTGGCGCAAGGCCAACAGGAGGACCAACTACAGTAGGTATATAACTAGCTACTCGAATCGAGTGTGCAGGGTTGCTTTTCTTTTTTCCGTGCTCGCGTAGGAAGTTGCGGCCTATGGAATCCTTCAGGCAGGTTCTGACATGACATGCGGCAGCAGAAGAGAGCAGCAATTGGACATCCGACTATCTATCTGTCTGTCTGTCTGTTTGTCTGTCTATCTATCTATCTATCTATCTCTTTGTCTCTCTCCATTTAGGCGTGGCTGGTGTCCTTGTACTTGGACAACCCTTATGGAGGCTGCCATTGAAAGTACTTGTGCTGAGCTCGTGCAAACTATACACGCTGAGGCTCATTGGCAGACAACTCGCAGCTGCGGGCAAGCTCGTTGGCGCACCTACTGCATCTTGGAGTCTCTTGGCATGAAGCTCCAGTGTAACTAATTCTCCCTCAGAGTCCATGGACCCTTAAAAGTAGGACCTCCGCCGAGGAGGTCCTTCAAAGGCCGATGTCCGAGAAACCATAGAAGTTGCTGGGGTTTCACCGCCGAGGAATTTGAGGAAACCCAGCAAAGGGGATATAGGATCCTGTGAAACCTTGGTCCACAATTTAATCACAACCCTGGTCGTGAGCAATCTTGAAAAACGTCCACTCATTCAGATTCATATAGAAATTGCGCACAAAAGTGTGTAGGATGCCATGCCAATGCTCACGATTGCTCACGATTGCTCACGCTTTGCTGGGGGATGTTGTTTTCCTGTTGAGGTTGTTTGTGCCTTAGAGGACCTCCGAGGTACTTTTCAGGACCTTTGCTCACGCTTGCTCACGTTTGCTCACACTAGCTATGAGCAGACAGCAAATAAATGAGAGTGTTCTTTTTATTTGGTGGGAAATAAAGGTCCGGAATTGCACGATGCCAAATGCCCTCAATCAAGCCAACACCAGCAGTGAGGGCCCATCAAATAGCCCCCTCGCCGATGTTCTTTTTAGGACCTCGGACCTCGAATGGAAGATTATCGCCGATGTTCTTTTTAGGACCTCTTTTCTCAACAAATCCGAGGACCCTACAAAGTAGGACCTTGGACTTCCAGGGTCTACTATATTCTCCTTGCATTTTGCAGACTTCCGTGATTCATTGCCATCATACAGCATGTCCCATTCCGTTCCTTTGAACGTGTTTCCTCCAGTCCGTTTCCCATCCAATGAATGCCACGGACATCATTGATGGAAGCTCAGGAAGTAGCAAAATCCAGTCGACCTGGGATGGCGCTAGCTGTTGCTCAGCCATGATCGGAAGACCCGTGTTTCAGTTTGCCATTGAATAATATAATCATGTCTGAGTGAGATGCTATTGCTGTTTGCTGCATCCAGGTTGGGCAGATGCTTATCAGCTTTTTCTGGCGGCAAAGCTGCAAATTAGAGTGATGAGCCAATTGATATTGCTTTGCTAGTCTCGTATGCTGCATGCAGGGCATTGCAGAGCACACCAGGTAAGGTGGGGTGGTGCAAACTCCTTGGGAACAGTTGCTCTCCAAGGTCCTTGCAACCTGGCTGCAACAAACGACTTTGATGGTGCCGGACAGGAAGAGTAAGAAGAAAACTGGATCAGTGATCAGAAAATTGTGGGAGTTGTTTGGTGAGTCGGCCAGCCAACGTATACAAGTCTAAATGCGGGAGAATGGCGAGAAATACAGAGAGAGAAGACCAGGAGACGCAGCATAAAGATCAAGCTGTCAAACTTTCGGCAGTGCTTCCAGGTCGCGAAACAGCTGCTGTTGCTTTGGACTTGCTTGAAGTAGCCACCCGCTATGCAGGCATCATCAAACAAATGCAGTCACCTACGCAGCTCAGGGTTCCTTTTGTTCACAGGTTGCAGTGTTTGCAGACGGAAGGACTTGTTTGGTCTTCAAGTTCTTGTAAATGTCTTAGCTGTGAGTTTTGGCAGGTTGCCAAGACTTATCCACACCCATATCCTGGTTCTTAGCAAGGCCACGAGGGCATTATGTTCAGATATGTTCAGAATGGGAAGTTTCGATACATGTCAATGTCTGACAATGATGAATGATGGACTCCTGAAATGTGGGTCAGCGTTCTTCAGCAGCCCAAGCCACTGGTCCGTTACAGGTCCTGTCCCTGGCGCTTCCGCTTTGTGATAATGGTTGGTCACGTGGCAAATACGGTTCATTTGGCACAATTCTTCGGAATGATTCAATAAGTCAATAGGTTCCGTAGGTTCCTGGTTGAATACCAAGGTACTGAACTGGCCAGGAAGTTGCTGCGACTTCATGACATCCGAGAGGCAGACGTCAAAAGACAGCAGACTGTTTGAGTTTCGGGTAGCCTGTTTGATCACCTCATAAATCTAATGTCCTTACTTAATTATATATATATATATGCAATTATATATAATATAGTCAAGCAAACATAAGAACACATTCTTGCCATTTCTTACCTTGTTCTGTTCGTTTAACAACGTCCCAGGGCAAACCCAGTAGCACGGGGCTTGGGGATGCATGAGGCACGGGGTAGGGGGTAGATGATTTGACTGTTAGCCGTTCTTTTTTGTCACGCTCTGCAATCGTTTCGGTCTTTGTGACACGGGCTTAGTCTGAGGCGTCAACATTATGACATAGTTATATTGTTATATAGTTGTTAGAGTTGTTAGCTGAGATTTCACTGCTTGTACTAGACTAGGTTCTGTTTCAGTTTAGTATGGCTTCGATACAATTTTGGCACTGTACTGTGGCCCTTTGCTCGTTTGTTGGACTCCACTAGCTTTCCATGCTGCTTTGCACCTGATTGGTGACTGTCAAATTGAAGAGGTGCTCAGACTTACACCCACGGGGCCGCCTTTGGTCTTTTGGTAGTAAACTGTCGGGCTTCATTCATATCATTATGGCAATCTTTGCTAGGTATGTTTTGCCAGGAATCCCAAGAGCAGATAGACCTTTTTGACCACATCGGTAGCCCAGGAAATGGTCCCTGTGAAACCAGATCATCGCAAGTAAACCGTTGAAAAACCACAGCATGTGGATGTGGCAACTGATTAAGTTAACCTATGGATGCGTGATTAAAAACACACACACACAGCACTCGCCCCTTTTATTCTCGCGCTGTAGGCTGCTCTGATTCTGAATCGAACCCGCGACCACTGGGAAAGGGTGCAACAGCTGAGTTTCTTCCGCACCTTTGCTGAGCCTTTGCATTAGTTCTCAGTATTTGCTCGGTTGGACTTGCTCACTAGATATGAATACATTTTGCCATGCCACTTGTGCAGCTGTGCTTTCTCAGGTGAAACACGTTCTGAGGCGTCTTGCCTCAACTATGCTCATTTGATTCTCATTGGTTCTCCGCAGTATGGTCCTTCCTGTGTCTCAACTCACTTTTTGTGGAGTCTGAGCCAAGGTCGATGTGCCTGGAACACCTCTTGCAAGCCGCAGTGCTGGTTGACAGCTCAAGCCCACAGAACCAATATTCAAGTCTTCAGCACCAGAGAGCTTTGTAATGGCCTTTGGGTCGTCGAATGGAGATAATACTGTGCAGTAAATGCTTCTATGCTTCTTTCAAATCACAAACGCTCCCTTTATGCATTGATCATCACTGAAACGCAGTAGCAGTATGCCAATTGAAGTCAAAGCGAGGAAAATGATGGCTTTGGCACAACTTGGCTTGCTAATGAGCTGCTAATGTACAATATCACATGTAGCACCTGAGCGTTTATAGGATCATAGAAATTCAGGTGCTGCTTCTGTTACGTGCAAGGTTTTCTGAGCTGGAATCAAAACCAAGACTTCCTGCCGACCAGTGCTCATTGGCCAATTTGGCCGCGAGAGGCACATAGCACAATGCTGTGTATGTCTATGTGGCAATTGAACCTTCAGTGCAGCCTGATTCAGCATGCAGACAGTCCACTGAGTGTAGAATGTCCCACCACCAAAATCACGAGTGAGAGAAGCGCAAGGCTTGGCCTAGCTTTGCTCACTTCTTGGAGGCGAATTACGAAACCTTCCGACAGAGTTTGGCGCCTCACTTAAAGCTTGCCAAGTGATCCTGAACTGAACGACTCGGTCAGATCTGTCAGGTTTTGTTCTTTCATACATCCTTAAACGGATCAATATGCGACTACGTTGCAGAAGGAGCAAGACAGGTGATGCTGTGGCTCAGTAAAACTCGCAGCTTTGTCGGATTATGGAGTCCCTCCTAGATTGGCCAATGTTGCCGCTCTTTGTAGCCCCAAGACCTCGGCTCGGTTGTTTTCCTGCATGGCAGACTTCGTGTCAAAGAACACCTGCTGCCAGAGTATCAACGCTGTCGTTTGACGAACCTTCATCTTTTGCCCGGAGATTGGCTGGTTCAGCATGTGGCGCAGCCTGTGCAGCCTTTCCGGCTTTGAGGCGGCGCCGCTTCACACGTTTGGCCTTTGAAAATGAATTAGGTGTCCAGCCACCTTTGGGTTTTTGGGACCCAATGGGTTTCACAGATGACGGCGATATCGCTGCTTATCGGCGACGACGTTCAGTGGAATTCAAACATGGAAGGATTGCTATGCTTGCTACGATGGGCTTCATGACGCCAGAGATCATAGGACATTGGCCAGGATACCTTTCCCCCTCCATGGGCCTCAAATTCGCAGATGTTCCGAATGGCCTGGCCGCCTTGAATGTCGTTCCATCACTAGGCCAGGTTTGAACAATGGGAAGCAGAACAGAGACACAAGAAACAGATCTTGAGCAAGTGTATATAGCAGCATCCCTGCATCCCTTGCTTGTGCTTGTCATATTATTTTGTACTGTTCTGACTTTCAAGCCAAGAAAGAGTCTTGTGGATAACACAAAACATGATTCATGAATATTCATGATCAGGCTGGACACAGATTGTGATCTACTTCGGCTTAATCGAATACAGTGGAGGATTTGAGGACTACCGCAGCGGAACGCCTGGTGATTACGCGTGGAAAGCATTAACTTCAGATGATCCAGAGGACAAACGTCGAAGGCTGAATGTGGATCTAGCTAATGGCAGGCTTGCTATGGTGGCAATAATGGCTATTCTATTTCAGAATGGAGTTGCAGGCACAACAGGGCCAGAGATGTGGATCCCTGCACTTTAGTCTCCCACGATTGCTTGACATTTGCAGCATAGAGAGGAAAAAGCTATCTGCTGTTTGTCCGTTCTTATGCACCAAGCTTGGATTGCCATCGGAACAAGCACATTTAGCAGAATGACATTGGCTAAATGAAAGTTTGCTGCCTAGCTCGATGCGAATTGCTGAGGAGGATTTGCTTGAGTTGGACCCAAATGGAGAGATCTTTGAGGCTCCAGCCACATCAACCTATGCAATAGTTCGGTTTACCCTGAAAAGAGGGGCTGGCGGCTGGCGAAGATTGATTTGGTGGAATGAGATTATTGAAGACTCAATAGAAAGGGTATCCTACTTGGCCCCCGTTCCCACCCTTTCGATCCAGTGTCTTGCACTATTCTCGAGTAGAATTTAAGCCATGCTGGCATTTCTGGACAAAGCAGCACAAAGCGCAAGTGATTGTGTGCATTAGGAGGTGAGAGAGCTATATAACACTGCAGACATCGAAAGATTTGCTGTCAAAAAGCTTTTTGCTGAAGGCACTGGCATCACAGCAACAATCCGAGATGGCCCCGAGAAGGAATGCATGGGTACGACTCGATTTAGTGCACGGTGTCCAGATTGAGCAGCACAGCTTTTGGAGGGTACCTGCTTTGGTTTCTTTGGATGCAGGCATGACATTTTTTGCCATGTTGTAGCTGACTACGATGTATGGGAATTTGTTGTTTTACACATAGGGGTTGGAATTTCCTCTACAAAATCGCGGGTGTTGGGACCCCTAGAAAGCGATCTTTTTAGCCAGATTTTCTTGGTTGACATGGAGGCGTGTAAGTACCAACCTGGAAGTTTCTCTATTATACAAAATTGCTGTTTTTTACAAGCTCGATTCTATAGAGGTGTTGAAGTGATGGTGCAGTGGATCTTGGTGCCTCAGGCATCTGATTCTATAGAGAATTATTAGCATGGATTTGCATGTCAGGGACTGCAATTCTATAGAGATGACTTGGGGACGACCTTTGGACACTATAAAATCACAGACCCTTACCTGTCCATGACGCCCTTTTTTCTCTGTAAATTTGTGGTCCTACCAACTGGGAAATCAATGCCTTCCTCGACCGTTGCATTTTTATGTTTTCTTCAGAGCCTTGTACCTTGATCTTATAGAGACCCATTTTTTAGGTGTAAATTCTTGGAACCCTTTTTTGCTCATGCGGTTTCTCTTTTCAGAAGGTTTTGTGTTGATGTTTGATTCTTGTGGTATATTATTGAGATGGCCGACATTCATTGCGTGGCTCAATGTGCACTGCAATAGGTGCATATGGCAATCCCACGAAGACGGAAAAACATATCTTGACAACAAAATGCAATGGTTTCTACAATATCACCCAGGGACATGTGAACATTGGGGTGTGAAATGAGGCATTGCATGGCACCATTGCATGTTGAAGTTTTTCTTAGAGTCTGATGTATGGAGGGCAACGATGAAGCCAAAAGTCTTCATCGCCACTTGGTGCAATTTAAGGCAACACTGACATCAGAAGATCATACCAGCGTAATTTCCAATGTAGAGAATTTGGTGGCTTCTTTAGAAGCTCATTTTGATGTGCGAGAAGAACCGGCCCATTCCAGAACCCGACAGGTGAAGAAAACAACTAGGGCTCAATTGGAGAGCTCTTTGAAACACAACAAGAAAAAGTTGAGCAGATTGTTGAAAGAAAAGCGGGACATAAAGGGAACAAAAGACAAGTATGGTATGCTCTCCCGCTCTGCGATATTACGGGTGATGCTGGCAGATCCAACGCTACCTTCGAGAAATTTGGCAACTTTGCTCAATGAACACGCACTGGGCGGGGAGCAAGTGATCAGCCACCCGAAGGTTGGTAACATCCGGGATGCCTTTGTGGAGCAAATCAAAGAACTATCTGCCAAGCAACTACAGTACTCCTTTAGTCGAGCATGCGAAATTGCAGCCGTGCATGGATGGTTGGAAGAGCAGAGCTGACAAGGCGAAGGAAGAAGCTTTGGGTGCCGGTCGTGCCGCAGAGAAGGGTGGCCACAAAGAACATCAAAGAACCTCATCAGGCAGCCCCGCCTGCGGCTGTGACTGATTGGAAGGAAGGAGACGTTGCCATTGCTCTCCCTGGCAAAAGAAAGTCAGAGTTCGACAACCAAGAAGGTGTCGTGCTCAAAGTGCTGGCCAAAAAGCTCCGTCTGGAGTTCAAGCGCTTGGGGGAGACAAAGGATGTGGACAAAGACAGATGCCAAAAAGCGGCCAAGAGTGGACGTCAGAATGCCGATGAGAAAGCCGAAGAGAAGAAGGAAGAGAAGAAGGAGGATAAACCTTCGCTGACGGAGCTCTTGGGCTCAGACGTGGTGGACGATTAGGAAGACAACAACTCGCGCCTGAAAAAGTAGCAGCTTCCTTTGACCGCTCAGTGTCCTTCGCTTTTTGGGTGACGAGGGTGGACTAACGACATGTTCACTATTTCCAATGAATAGTATTTATACATTAAACCACACTATTTGACACTATTTCACACTATTGCAATATTTCAGAGGTCGTTAAAGGCTTCCAACATTTAACACCTAACATTTTCTCACTCCTATTGAAAAACACCTGTTCGACGGTACCTCAGGACCTGCATTTTATAGAGCAAAATCCTCAATGTTTGCAGCTTTTCACAGACTCATGGCCCTCCATTCTATAGAGCTGACTCCTTGTTTTTGGACTCTTTTCCTATATCATTCTCAATTTTATGGGGTCAAAAAGCGACCATTTTTTGCAACCCCTATTTTTGCACAAATCATATAAATATAGATATAAAATATATATATATATATATCACGAAAGGTAGCTTAAGCTACCTGAGTTCTCCTTGCTTTAGCAAAAAACTATTACAATCAGGAGTTGGGACTGTGCATTGAATTTCGTCCTGTAAGAAATGATTCTGTTCGTCGGGGGGGGGCCGTATGTTCAACACTTAGGGGCCATGCCGCAAGCAGGGCTACAAGACAGTAATAAGGAACAAGGACAAGCGCAGGTTTCCCAGCCACCAGCCACGCGTGAGCGGTATGCCAGCATCCTCCTCTCTTCTTTTGCAGGGTCTGATCGGCTTCCAGGTTCTCCTGAACCAATGCGCCCTGGTCGTTGCCCGTGCGAGGCAGCCAGACATCCTACACATGGTTGTCGGAAGTGGGCACGACGGCAAGACCTTAGTCTTCGTGGATCATTTGCAAGCCGTGTTCGGCACTGCATTGAGCTGCGCTCCTTGCGCAATGCTGCAAGCAGACAGAGAGTTTCAAGTGCAGGGCGTCAATTTCCTCCACGCAGCCTTCATCACCTTTGATGAATGCAAGAGGGAGCAAGGCATCATGGAGGATATCATCAAAGTGTTTGTGGGAGGTGGCTGGCTGCCATTGGGCAGAAATCATGAAGCAGAAACAAAATACGGCCACTGGGCACAAACTGGAAAAGTTTGGGCAATGAACACAGGCGACATTCCCAAGGTGCCCACCGCGGAAGAGATTTCTCACCAAAGACGTTTTCGCTGCACGTACATGCGCTCCAAGTTCACAGCAGTCGAGGACGAAGTCGACATCCCCAACAAAGTTTTCCAAGCAGACCCAACGGATGGCCTCTGGAGATGCTGTGTGGTGTTTCTTTCAAGATTTCCTCTTCCCGCATCGTCAGCACGGTGTCCAGAAATGCAGCGATGCCGTGCAATACCTCAAACAACTGACAGCCCAGATCCAGATCAACAGACAGTTCCTGACCAGGGGCTGGATGGTCTCCCTGCCGTGGACACCTCCAATCAATCCACCGCTGAGCGCATCGTGCGGGAAACGCATGCTGCGATCCAGCTCCAGTTCTTCTCAGCAGCAACTTGGCCATAGAACCATTCCATTGCCCTAAGTGTTTCAAAACAGTCATGCGGACACGGTCAACATCAACCCTTACAGGATTTAAAAGTCATGCGCAACAGGAGTATGAAGACCACATGCGCACTCCCCTGCATATTATTTTCACTCAGGCAGAGGTGAACCGAGCGCTGGTGGCATCCAATCCTGGAGCGGCTCCTGGAAGCAGGCCGCAGGCAAAAAGCTCCGAGTCGACCATTTGAAGGAATCTTGCCGAGGTTTCCTCGCCTCATTCGACCGGTGGAAGGCGTGCAGCATAGTGGAAGCCAACTTGACCGCTTTGAGCGCAGAAGTGTGCGCATGGGATCGTTGCCTTGCAGAGTGTTTGGGACCAGACCGCTGTGTTGAGATTGCTGGAACCTGGAACGACTGGGTCTGGCCACATGCTTCCGAAGCAGCGTCCGTATACGATGACATTGAAGAAGCGACTGCTTTTGGAAGAGGCAACCCTTGGACAATCCGCTGCCACCTTGACCTCAATGGTTTGCAGGAGTATGGGAACACGGCCGGTGGCGAGGGAGGACATCATGCACGGCAAATTGCTGATCTGGCTCAACAAGATGACCACACGGATAATACCGCCGTCCTCCCAGCCACCGGATACCAAAAAAAGGTCGCTGGTGAATCCCTGGGCAGAGTCTTTTTTCCATGGCCGAGTTTTCCCAATCTCTCTCGTTCTGCCAGAGCTTCTGGAAGCCCACCGGGCACCAAGGAGTACGACATGCCGAATGCTGTGGTCCACTTTGCCCTCGAGTTTGCGCGGGACTACGGGTTGACATTGCCTTGCTTTCAGCGCTACAGAGATTTCAAAGGTGACTGGAGGAAAGTGGTCATGGCATGGTTCTCCTTGTCAGAGACGCCAAGAAGACTCTTTTGAAAGCCTGCTTTGGCTTCACTTTCCCATCGAGAGCCAGTGGAGATCCTTTCATTTGTCCGCTTTTAGATGGCTTGGCTGCAGACGCCATGAAATTGAAGGATGCTCTATGCCAAAGACACCCCCGCGGAAGCTATGAAGGCAGCTGTTCGACCTCGGCTTGAAACCTCAACCATGGCATTCCTTCTGTTTGACAAGGAGAACAAGGCCATGCCGCACTTCTGCGAGCTCTTGCCCAAACATGGCTTCGCCTTAGTTGCACCAGTGTTTGACGCAGTCTTGGCAGTGCCAAAGCCTGCCCAAAGCGAAGATGGACAGGTCTCAAATGAAGAGGCTTTGCTGTCTGAGTTTCACGCAACGACTGGCATCAGGATGCAAGTCCAAAACTTGGACACACACCGATCTCCAGTCACAGTGCAGAGTATCTTGGAAGACCTCTTAGCAGAAAACAACGCCGTCCGCATGGATGCCATTGAACACATACCAGGGTCATACACTTGCGTTGGCGCTGCTCTGGTGAACCTCGAGGCAGACTCGTTCAAGCGCACCATGTCCAACTTGGAAGGGCCCATACCGTACCAACAGGCTACGCAGCTGTGCCCGAACCTGATGGTGGAGCCGATTGCTTGGTCTCAAGCGCTTGCTGCCTCTGCTGAGACTTGCCTTCTGGTGCATGCTTCCAGCCCTTTGGACACCGAAGTTGGTCACGCATACGGGTTGGAACTCCTGCAGAGCACGGCTTGCATCTATAGTTCCACTGAGGAAGAGTGCATCCAGACGAATGCTCAGACTTTGTGGCGACTAGTGCAGAAGGTTCCAGGCGCACAGGTATTCAAAGTGTACCTGGTTCCTGACGGGCAACACCAGGCTAAACGAAGGAAAAAGGAAGGCGCTTGTGTCGAACTCCTGTTGAAAGCTGGCGGTGATGAAGATGATGCCAGCTGGAAACATGTGGTCCCCGCAGTCCGAGAGATCATGGGAAAGGAGGTGGCTGCGGAGATAGCCCGTCAGATGCTCAGACAGTTTACAAGTAAATCTACACTGGCCCCGACTGTCATTTGCACCATTTTTGCAAGCCCAAATAATACACATGGGCTCTCATGGTTTCACGTCGGGCGTGGCGAGACTTCTAAGATCTTAAAAGTAGGCTAAACATTATTATACCCATTCTCTGCAGGGCCTGAAAAGTCTGTTCATAGCATCTGGCGTTTAAATCTTTACATCTGGCCTTTGAAAACTTATGTAACTTTAGGCA